AAGTATCTTTTGTGTTTGTTGTTAGGCCCATGTAAGTCTTCCATCCTTGTGAAAGACAATGCTAAACTCTTTTTCTTTCATGCAAATGGAAGATTAAAAGGTTTTTTTTTTTTGTTGTTGTTGTTGTTGTTTTGTTTTTCTTCTTTTTTTTTTTTTCTCCAACAAGATTTCTCTGTGTAGCCTTGGCTGTACTGGATTCATTTTATAGACCAGGATGGCCTTGAACTCACAGATCTGCCTGCCTCTGCCTCCCTGAGTGCTACGATTATAGGCATGTGCCACCACGCCTGGCCAAAAGGTTTTTTTTTTTTAAAGGTAAAATACTGTGAAGGAAAATACTGTCGAATTATTTCCTTAGATATACATTTTTACAGTAGCTTTTATAAAAGAGCATGTTTCTTATCTATTTGCATCTGTATTTGGGGTGGGACCATAACAATAATTTCAAATATTTTGTTTACTCATGTGGTTGGTTTGTCTGCGTGCATGTCTGCAGAGGCCAGAAGAGGGCATCAGCTCCCCTGGGACTGGAGTTTCATAAAGTTGTGACCTGCCATGTGGGTGCTAGTAATCAAACCTTAGTCCTCTTGAAGAGCAAGAGTGCTCTTAACCAATGAGCACCTCTCCAGCCCTCAGCAATAATATTTTCATGAGAGTGTTACTAAGTATTACTTTGTGTGTGTTGAGAAATAACAGTCGGGGGCCATGGCGGTAATCATTTAGGACTGTCTCCCCCCGCCCAGGACATCGCACTGATTTTGCCGAGCCCTTCTGAAGGTCCTGTCTCAGAGCTTGAGCAGCTCTCCAACTCCCTACCCAGTAAGGAGCTGATGGCCGCCATCTGTGACTGTCTGCTGGCGACCCTCACTAACTCCGAAAGCAGCTACAGCTGTCTGCTGACGTGCGTCCGCACGATGATGTTTCTCGCGGAGCACGATTATGGACTGTTCCACTTAAAAAGGTAGGCTTTGCAGAGTATGGCGTGCTGTGCCTTCCTCCCCACTTAGTCGACCCATGCTTGTGACGGAAAGTTGAGAGTGGTTTCCTCCACAGGAGAAATTCTGTATGTGGCATTGTTTCATTGGCAGTTAGAAATAAATTTTAAAATCTCTTCTGTCTGAGTTGTTTCTACTTTCTGAAACATATGAGTAGCGCTGTTACAAGTCTACATTAGGGTTTCTGTGTGCACCTGAAACGTATTTCTCTTGGCTAGCTACCTCAGCGTGGAACTACTGGGTCACGTGAGAGGCTGTTTAACCTGATCAAAAGCTGCCAAGTTGTTTTCCAAAGTGTGTCTCCCTCTGCCTCCCATCAGCAGTGCATTAGGGTTCTAGGGACTCCTTAGCCTCACCGGAACTTTGCAGCATCAGAGTTGCTTTGTTGACTTGGAGCCTTTATGTGTTGCTCCAGTTGACCTCCGATTCCTGGCTGCAGTCCTCCAGTCTCAGCCTCTAGACAGAGTCTTTAGGATGAAGACACATGCCACCATAGCTTTGCCAGAGTTTTTTTTTCCTGAAGACATTCTAATAGATATATTAGCCATCGATTTTTTTGTTATTTGAGACAGGGCCTTGTTCTCTAGCCCAGGGTAGCCTGGAACATGTATCTCAGCCTCTGGAATGCTGGGATTACAGCTGTGAACCAGTGCTTGGCGCAGACCCTAGGTTTTCATGGAGTATGCACCAATATAACACATTTGCCTAAGGTTTTACCTGGTCCCTAGTAACTGGGATGGTCTATAGTTCTGAGCCTCTTATTTTTTTCATTATAATTTTCTTTAGGTCTGATTTCATCCCTGTTTGTCATGCCTTTCTATCTGACTGTGTTAAAAGTTCTCAAGAGCAGGAGGCTGATCTTCCCCTGTTTATGTTGCTTTACCGTGCATGTATGTCTTACACAGTGGTATCTTATAGCCTGACCCATTTGTAAATGGGAACACTACTTGTTTAGTGTTAATACCATACGTATTTCCATTTGGCTGCTTACGTTGTAGCCTAAGAGACAATTGAATATTTAAATGGTTTACCCTTGAAATTCTGTTGAAACTTAAAGACTGTGCCAGTGCATAGACTACTTAAGATCAGAATTTTAGACACACACTGAGGGGATTTGTTATGCAAAAGTCTCTGTGTGTGTGTTTTCAACTGGACTGTAGTTCGAGTGTAGTGTTGTGTAGTTACTGAGATAAGGTATTGCTGGAGTACAGGTGTCATCTATGCGTTGTCCACCCCACTTCCCCACCTCACCAGTGATCTACAGTAAAAACACCTGAGTTGTGTATAGCCCGCAGAGCCTAAATATTTACCATCTGCTTCTTTTGGGGTTTTCAAGACAGGGTTTCTCTGTGTAGCCTTGTTTGTCCTGGACTCACTTGTAGTCCAGACTGGCCTTGAACAGAGATCTACCTACCCCCGCCTCCCGAGCACTGCGATTAAAGGCATGTGCCACCATGCCCGCCTGCCGTTGGGTTCTGAAGCAGAAGTCATTGACCTCTGCCCTAGGCTCATGATTTTCTTTGTTATTCTTTGAAACTCCTAAGCTAGGTTTCCAGGTTGGTGTCTGAGATAGGCTAACCCTCTCATGGTAGGGAGACCCTCATATCATGAAAAGAATTTAAATTGGGAACTAGCAAGTGGCTTGTGATAGGTTTTGAAAGTTTATTATTTGAGGGAAGTTTTTTAGTATCCCCAGAGCATGGGGATATATACCTGTAATCATAGCTTCTGGGAAACTGAGGCAAGAGGATTGTGAGTTTGAGTTTAGCCTGCCCTGTATAGTGAGAGATTGCCATCTCCCCCTGCCCCACCACCCAAGAAAAAGGAAAGAAACAGAAAAAACAAAGATTGAATTGAAGATTAAAGTGAGTGGCTTTTTGGGGGGGCCTGCTTATATTTGTGAATCCAAGTATGTCTTTATGTTTGTTTGTTTTTTTAAATGGTGAAGTAAATTATATTCTTAGTTATTTCTCATGCTCATGTTATATACTTAACATTTTGATGTGTTATCTTTTTTTTTTATTGTTTGTCTTGGTTCTTTTTGAGACAAGGCCTCATTTTGAAGCTCTGGTTGACCTAGAGCAGTGTTGCCCAACCTGTGGTTCATGACCCCTTGAAGGTCAAACAACTCTTTCACAGGGTCCCAGATCAGATATTCTGCCGTATCAGATATTTACAGTACAGTCACAACAGTGGCAGAATTACAGTTACAAAGGCGCAATGAAATAATTTAATGGTTGGGGTCACCATGTATGAGGGACTGTATTAGAGGATGGGAGCATTAGGAAGGTTCAGAACCACTGTCTAGATCTTTCCTCATGCCATCTGAGAACTGGAAGTTCAGAGGAGTGCCACTATTTCTGACTTTTTTTCTTTATAGTTCCTAATGTGTCTGCTCTTGTCTTTCCTTTCAGTTCTTTAAGGAAAAACAGTGGTGCTCTGCACAGTTTGCTGAAGCGAGTGGTCAGCACGTTCAGCAAGGACACAGGCGAGCTGGCATCTGTGTCTCTGGAATTCATGAGACAGATCCTCAACTCTGATGCAATGGTAAGTGTGCATTGATTATTTTTATTTGATTGCTTTAAAGTGTTACAAATGTCACAGGCTAAATTATTACTTCAATAAAAAATATCTTGGAACATAAAGTAATGCCCTCTTTATATCACTGTAAAGTGAAATGCTGTCTCCAAAAAATGTCCAACATTTGCTCCTGCTTGTTCAAATTTAATTAAGACCCTTCTGTAGTGGTTTCCTAAGTCACGGGATATTGTGGTCCATATTCCAGAAGCTATCAGTCAGCCTTCCTTGAGAGGTACTTGGGGGCCCGGTGTGGTGGTGCACATCTTTAATCCCAGCACTCGGGAGGTAGAGACAGTCAAATCTGTGTTAGAGGCCAGCCTGGCCTACAGAATGAATTCCAGGACAGCCAGGGCTACACAGAGAAACCCTGTCTCCACAAACAAAAACATAAAGAGAGAGAAATATTGACTATTAAGTGTGTGTGCACGGACATATTCTATGGATCAGTATATATTTTTAGCACCAGTTTAAGGAATTCAACTCATGGGGTCTGGAGAGATGGTTCAGTGGTTAAGACCATTGGCTTTGCTTCTAGGGGATCAGGTTCAGTTGTAGTACCCACATGGCAGCTCACAACCATCTGCAACTCCAGCTTCAGGAGATTTGCCAGTTTTACATAGACATAGGTGGAGGCAAAACACCAGTGCACATAAAGAAAAGTAAAGAAATCATTAACACAAAAAAATTCAGCTCACACTTAAGATTACTGTTTAGAGAAAGTTGTAAAGGATCTTTTTACTGCAGGGTTACAGAATAAAAGATTTTATTAGAAAAATGTGAATATAGTAGTTACTTTGTTTCTCTTATGCATGTAATTTATAAGACTTTTTGATAATCCTTCTTGTCTAACTATTTTCATTCTAGACATTTTCCTCGGATTTTGTTGGCAAAGTTTGTGTTGTTCTTGGTGGAACATGCTTCTGCTCTGGCGCTCAGACAGAGAAAGGAGGCGTGCATAAGTTCAAGGCTAGCCTAGTCTGTCAGCATAGTGAGAGACTAGCCAGAGCTACATAATTATATGCTTATATCATGAAAGGTTGTTGAATTTTACCAAATGCTTTTTATGATTTTATTTGGATAAACACATGTTTTTTTTTTTATCCACATTATTTTAAGTAGATTGGGGTTTTTTGATTGTTGAACCAGCATTGTTTTCCTGGAATTAGTTCAATTTCACCATTTTTGTTTTGCCAGAGTTTCTCTGTGGAACAGCCTAGGCTATCCTGGAAGTCACTTTATATAGTAGGCCAGGCTGGCCTCAAACTCACAGCCACTGTCTCTGCCTCCCAAATGCTGGGATTACAGGCATGTGCCACCACTGATCAGCATAGATTATTAACCTTTAATTCTGTGATACTCTTCAGTAATGAAGCCAGCTGGGGTCTGGGCTTTGATTTTGGGAAGCTGTGTCTTGTCTTGCTGTGCAAAATGGATGCACCACCAATTAGTGTTTCAACCCTGAGCTGGGGTCATGTTTATCCTCTCTGTACAGTTTCAGATTTAAACAATGATCTGCTGACACGAGCTCCATTTTTCTTTAAAATACTAATTAAGTCCATTCAGATTTTTCTAAGCCTAGGTTTCTTTTTTAATCCTTTTAGAGATCTGCCTGCCTCTGCTCCCCAAGTGCTGGGATTACAGGCATGCACCACCACTGCCCGGCTAAGTGCTGTGTTTTTAAAAACTTGCTAATGACTGAGAATGGAGCTCAGTGGTGGAGCACTTGCCTAGTCTGTGCAAATAAACCAGCAAATAAGCAAGCTGGTTTGGTTGGGTTGGGTTCTTAGAGACTGGTGTATAGAATATTTTAGTTTATAAACTGTAGCTTTAGAGGGTGGTCTAAGTAGAACCTTTACTCCCTCAGTACCCTGTTTTATCCTGTTTATCTTTCCCAAATAGTGCATGGATTAGGTAACTCACCATTTCCTAACAGAGCAGTACAACTGTAGATCCAGTGGTTTATTGGTTTCTCTTTAAAGCTAGTAGTGTCTTTTATCACAGCGTAAGTCACTTCATCATCTTACATTCTCTGAAAAGTGCAAGTGTTCCACTAGGCTCATTCTCAGATCGAGAGAGGTTTTGTTAAAATACTTTCTCATTCCATAGCCCAGTGTGATGGCATATGCTTGTAATCCCAGCAGTTGGGAAGTGGAGGCAGGAGGACCAGTTTGAGGCCAACAGTGACAACATAATGAATTTGAGGCCAGCGTGGGCTACATGAGACCTTATTTTAAAAAAAAAAAAAAGGAAGAAGAATGTGTATTTAGTTTTTGACATTTGAACATTTATAGGACAAATGTTATGAACTCCAAACAAAATTTTAAATGTTTATGCCAATTAAAAATACTAAATCTTTAGGGTTGGAGAGATGGCTCAGTGGGTAAGAGTGTGTAGTGCTCTTGCAGAGGACCTTGTTCTCACACCCACATCAGGCAGAACAATTGATGTGTCTCCAATTTTAGGGGATCTGACACCCTCACCTGGTCCTCATGGGTTTCTGCACACACATGGTATAAATAAACTTAGGAAAACAAATCAGATGTTAAATCTTGCATCAGGGTTGGGGGAGACATTTACTTTCTGACTTTACCCTTGGTGGAGTGCGTTTATTTTGAGTAATTTAAAACAAGGACTGTTAGACAGGCTTGCCACTACTGTTTGACATGTATGTAACTATCTAGCATGTATCTTATTTCCTGTGTAGTAATATGTATGACTTTAAAGTAGAAAATACTTAGTTTTTAGTATGGCAGGTTGTATGTATGATAGCTGCTGTTTTTATTGCCTGTCTTATCTTCAAAATTGTAATTCTGATTCCTTCAGTTCTCCGTTCTTGTAGGCATCTTCCTGCCTCTGGAACATACGTTAGTTATCTGTCCTGCCGAGTACCAGTGTTTGCTATTAAATATTTTTTGAGAAATATGTGTCAGTGATTTAAATATGTGTTTACCCTTTGTTTTACTAATCTACTCAAACATTTCCACTTTCAGTAAACTAATTTCAAAAACTAGTCAGTTGTTGAGTTGTAAAGGTTGTAACATTGAGGGGAACATCCTAGCAAATGGCTGAGGTAGATGAGTAAATTTAGAAGTGTCTTTGCAGGTTTCTCTGTTCTCAAATTTAACTTGTGTGTGACATTTACAGGGCTGTTGTGGAGACGATAGTGGGCTCATGGAGGTAGAGGGAGCTCACCCGCCCCGGACGATGAGTATTAATCCTGCAGAATTAAAACAGCTTCTACAGAGCAAAGAAGAGAGTCCAGAGAGTTTGTTCCTTGAACTAGAGAAGCTTGTTTTGGTAAAGAGAAAAATAGAAAAAATAGTAATAAAATCAGCATTTCTTCTCAAGACTAGTCCAAGCTTTGCGTGGTGACCTTTTTAAGTAATAGAACTCTTAGCTGGGCACTATACCCACCAGGTAGCTCTTGGGGTTAATAATTTGGAGTGCACTTTTCTGTCTTGTTAAGAATCTAATGGGTAAGAAAAGGAAGTGTTGTTTGAATTGTGATTTTTGAATGCAGGATGCCTTTGCTATTGTTTAGAAATAAAATAGTGTTTTTGATGCTCGTTTTATTTTAATATGTGTGAGGTTAAATTAATGACCTCTGGATGGTGTTCCAAATTTTTCGTGTGATGTAATTCTACGTTTTTGTTTTTGTTTTTTGCTACAGTCAGTAGATTAGGGCTTAAGTGCTCAAGGGTTTTTCTGCTGGCACCTTCTCATTGCGTATGTTTGTGTCTAGGAACATTCAAAAGATGATGACAATCTGGATTCTTTGTTGGATAACGTAGTTGGGCTGAAGCAGATGCTGGAGTCATCTGGTGATCCTTTGCCTCTCAGTGACCAGGATGTAGAGCCAGTACTGTCAGCTCCAGAGTCTCTCCAGAATCTGTTCAACAACAGGTAAAGGAAGCAGGGGTTTGAGTGTAAGTAGGGAGTATTTAAGAGAGTATTTAAGGCTGCCAACACCTAGATTGGCTCAACAAAGGTTTTAGTTGTTGTTTTGTATATTTTTCTATAAAGAGTGATCTAGAAAAATTTCCAGGGTTTGCAGGCTCTCTGCAGCCTCTTGCACATTTTATAGGTTTTGTTTTTGTTTGTTTGCTTTTGCTTTCTAAGAAAAACATTTAGAACCCACACAGCTGTGCCTAGCATACAGACTGTATAAGAATGGGCATGTAGAACAAGGTTGACTGATCCTGAACTTAGAGAACATATATCGTCTCTTCTGTGGTTGTTCCTCTGAATATAGGAGCTCATGTAGCATAGGCGGTCTTAGAACTTGTGATCCTCCTGCCTCAGCCTTCTGACTACTGGAATGATAGGTGTGAACCACTAGACTGAGCTGAGGGTATCTCTTTACTCTCATGGTACTGTAGCCTTCTTGACTAACTGTTTGATTTACTCAAAACCCCAAGCCTGTTACAGTGGTATTTTTTATTTTTATTTATTCTTTTCAGACAATATATCCTGGACTGCAGCTTCCCCTCCCTCCACTTGTCCAAGTTCCTCCCACCACCTCCCCTCTTCCCCATATTCACAGCAACCCCTCCTTCCCCCAGAAAAGAGCAGGACTTCCAGGGTCATCAACCAAACATAGCATAGCAAATTACAGTAAGATCCAGGCACAGACCCTCACATCAAGACTGGGTGAGGCAACCTGGGAAGACGAAAAAGGGTCCCAGAAGCAGGCAAGAGTCAGAGATACTCCTGCTTCCACTTTCAGGAGACACCCCCCAACACACATACCCCAAACTAGCCACATAACATATGCAGAGGACCTAGTACAGACCCATGTGGGCTCTTCTGCAATTGCCGCTTCAGTCTCTGTGAGCCCTCATGAGCCTGTTACTCTTCCACGGGATTCCCTGAACTCCAAGGGCAGGAGACCCCATGGAAACTGCAACCTAGCTCTCTGCCCCTAATGTGTGGCTAGGGGGTCTCTGTAGCCCTCTCATCAGCTGTACAAGACAGTTTCTCTGATGACACTGGACAAGGCACTGATCTATGCATGTAGCAGAACATCATTAGCAATCATTTCATTGATTTCATCCAACCCCAGCGGGTGTATTTTTGAAGCTTTAGTTTTTCTGAGAATAGCTGATTCTTGAATAGCTTTTTGAAGGCTTAAAGGCTAATCTTATTAACACTCTAGAGGGTAATAATTTTAATTATGTTACTTAAATAAGCCAAAATAATATGTTTTTGGATTCTGGTTTTGACCAAATGCTCTTTTCATGTTCTAGGACTGCGTATGTGCTAGCTGACGTCATGGACGACCAGTTGAAGTCTATGTGGTTTACTCCATTTCAGGCTGAAGAGATCGATACAGATCTGGACTTGGTATCAAGGATTTTATTACTAACTTTCAGAAAAGTTAATGCTTCTGTTGGTTTCTTTGTGTGTTGATGGTATTCTAATAGTTTATATAATACACTCTTTTTTTTTTTTTTAAAGGTTTCTTTCGCTTTCTTTTACTTATTTTTATTATGTATACAGTGTTATGCCTGCATGTAGGCCTGCAGGCCAGAAGAGGGCACCAGATCTCATTATAGACAGTTGTGAGCCACCATGTGGATGCTGGGAATTGAACTCAGGACCTCTGGAAGAGCAGCCAGTGCTCTTAACCGCTGCACCATCTCTCCAGCCCCTATAATACACTCTTAAAGTTCATTAGAGGGCAAATACATATTATCTCTATGACAGTCACCCACTTATTGAAATCTAGAACTCATTATTTTTTTATTTTTTGTTCCACTTCTGTCTAGTTAGTAATTTGTATTTTGAGTTTGTGATGAGGCAAAATGTTCCACATTCTTGCATATGTCTGAAGTACATGGTTTCTTTATGCTGCTAGGGCACAGAATAACATATGACAAGACTGTTCATTCTTCATTGGGTTCAAGGAGAGGAGTGATGTAGCCTCTACTCTGGGATGGTGCTGGGTATTCTTAAGCATGATGCTGAAAGGTTCAAGGATGTAGAGATGGTGTTTTATGCTTCTCACACGGGTATTTCTGTAATGAGTTTAACCACATCTTATATAGTGCTTATTTTCTTCGTCAGGGAAATCTACTTGGGTATTCCCATGTCTGAAGGATACTAGTATTCACCATGATTAATGAAACTGGAAGAATGGTTCTTTTTTATTTAAGATTGAGAGCTTCTCTTCCTTTAAGGAAAATAAATTACACATTCTATAACTAAAATTGCATTAAAGAATTCATTTTTAGTATAAACTTTTTAGTGATTCATTAGAACTGAGCTGTCCAGTAAACTTCTGTATAGGAGTAGAAATGCTCTGTGCTTTTCCTTCTTTGGTACAGCAGCCAATAGTTTTGTGCGACTCTTGAAAAATTAAAATTTGGGTAGTGTGACTGAAACACTGAATTTTGGTTAGGCATGGTGTCTTACACCTGTAATCAGTCCTGGGAAGGCAGAGGCAGGAGAATACCTGTGAGCTCAGTGCCAATCTGATCTACATAGTGAGTTCCAAGCATGTCAGGGCTATACATGGTAAGAACTTGT